ACAAACATGTTAAAAATATTAAAAAATACATTTAAAATTTTGAATAAAAACATTACAACACAACAGGGTATTATTTAAAATACAAACACAACAAAAATCTAAAAATTACAACCTACAAAAACTGCAACTTCATGTTAAAGGTAGAAAAGAAGAATTATTCTTCTTTTTTGATGACATATTTCTGACTTCTGTCAATATCCGGGTGTCATATGCAACGAGGTTATAATTTTTCACGTTAGAACCTCATGGATATGGAAAGAAAGAACCCCAGGAAACACAATCAGCAGGGAAATGAAGTCTTTTCTCAAGTACAGGTAGGCAATCTATGCATGTTATGATAAGTTCCCTACATTCTCCAGTTTGTTACATCTTGTCAAGTCCTGTTGAAGTAGAAAGGAATAAATACAACTTAAGTTTTCAACATCTTTCTTACAGTTCATAGAAGAACTGCAGTTATGGATGTAGCACATTTCTATGAAGTTTCTCTTAAATTGGTTGTCAACCCTCTTTAGTACTTGCACATTTTCATAGTTAGCAATGTGTCCAGTATTCTTAATATGTTGGCTAAAGGCTGTGCAGGTGGGCTTCCTCACTACATCACTCTTGTGCAAAGCTAGTCTTTTTGAGAGTTTCTGGCTGGTTTGACCGACATACACTTCTGGACAGGAACCACATGGAACAGAATACACTACATTGAAGTTATCCAGTTTTTTCAACTCTTTCTGTCAGGTGAGTAAAGTATGTCCCTAATCTTTTGTACACTGAATTTGCTATCACTATGTTGAACTGTCTGAAAAGGTTTGTGATCTGTGGTGATAAACCTCTGATGTAAGGTAATCTCCCATAGAAAACTTCTACTGTTTCTCCTTCTAATGTTTGTCTTTGGTGTGTTCTAACTGTTGGCATATCTTGGAATAGCAATTTATTAAGAAGCATCTTAGGGTAGTGATTTTTTCTAAGAATCTCATACAATAATTTGATGTTCTTATTGTAGTTAGAAGGGTGACAAATTCTTTTTATTCCGTTTTTCAGACCTTTGATGATGTTAATCTTCTGTTCGTCTGGATGATACGAGTGAAAAGGCACATATCTACCTGAGAATGTTTTCTTTCTGTACCAATCCAGCCTTACTGTGTTGTCCTCATGTCTGGTTACATGGGTGTCGAGGAATGGAACACTATTATTCTCTTCTGTTTCAACAGTGAATTGTAGGTGAGTGTTTATATGAGTTGAAAATGTCAAGAGTGTAGTTGATTTTGTCTGCAGGGACTGCACATATGAGGTCGTCTACATATTGGTCTTTTGAACTTCTCAATGACCCACACTCCTATAAAAAAATCCCCAAAGATCTGACTCCATCAGTAGAAAGAAACACCAACTTACTAATAAAACAACTACATGAAGAAGGATATATTACCACCAAAACAAAAAAAGAATTAACCAACTATACCGGTACCACCCCAACATACTATGGACTTCCAAAAATTCACAAAGAAGGGTGTCCTCTTCGTCCTATAATTGCCTGTAAGAATGCCCCTACTCAATCCTTGGCTAAATATCTGGCAGGTATTATTGACACTTCTTTTTCTTCTCATAATACCTACAAAATTAAAGATTCTTTTGAATTTGCAAATAAGATTAATGGGTTTTTACTACCTTTAGGATATGTCTTGGTGAGTTTTGATGTTACTTCCTTGTTTACCAACATCCCTCTTGAACTGGTAGTTTCTATTCTGACAACTAATTACCATCTTATTGAACAGAACTGTACAATTCCCAAAGTTTTGTTCCTGAAACTGATTACCTTTTTATACAACAATACATATTTCACTTTTCAAAATGATTCTATGTCCAAATAAAAGGAGCACCCATGGGTGGAGCTATATCCCCAACTTTAGCAGCAATTGTAATGAACTCCCTACTTCACTACTGTACTCAAAAAGTTGATTTCCAGTTCCCCTTCATTTACCAATATGTAGACGACCTCATATGTGCAGTCCCTGCAGACAAAATCAACTACACTCTTGACATTTTCAACTCATATAACACTCACCTACAATTCACTGTTGAAACAGAAGAGAATAATAGTGTTCCATTCCTCGACACCCATGTAACCAGACATGAGGACAACACAGTAAGGTTGGATTGGTACAGAAAGAAAACATTCTCAGGTAGATATGTGCCTTTTCACTCGTATCATCCAGACGAACAGAAGATTAACATCATCAAAGGTCTGAAAAACAGAATAAAAAGAATTTGTCACCCTTCTAACTACAATAAGAACATCAAATTATTGTATGAGATTCTTAGAAAAAATCACTACCCTAAGATGCTTCTTAATAAATTGCTATTCCAAGATATGCCAACAGTTAGAACACACCAAAGACAAACATTAGAAGGAGAAACAGTAGAAGTTTTCTATGGGAGATTACCTTACATCAGAGGTTTATCACCACAGATCACAAACCTTTTTAGACAGTTCAACATAGTGATAGCAAATTCAGTGTACAAAAGATTAGGGACATACTTTACTCACCTGACAGAAAGAGTTAAAAAACTGGATAACTTCAATGTAGTGTATTCTATTCCATGTGGTTCCTGTCCAGAAGTGTATGTCGGTCAAACCAGCCAGAAACTCTCAAAAAGACTAGCTTTGCACAAGAGTGATGTAGTGAGGAAGCCCACCTGCACAGCCTTTAGCCAACATATTAAGAATACTGGACACATTGCTAACTATGAAAATGTGCAAGTACTAAAGAGGGTTGACAACCAATTTAAGAGAAACTTCATAGAAATGTGCTACATCCATAACTGCAGTTCTTCTATGAACTGTAAGAAAGATGTTGAAAACTTAAGTTGTATTTATTCCTTTCTACTTCAACAGGACTTGACAAGATGTAACAAACTGGAGAATGTAGGGAACTTATCATAACATGCATAGATTGCCTACCTGTACTTGAGAAAAGACTTTATTTCCCTGCTGATTGTGTTTCCTGGGGTTCTTTCTTTCCATATCCATGAGGTTCTAACGTGAAAAATTATAACCTCCTTGCATATGACACCCGGATATTGACAGAAGTCAGAAATATGTTATCAAAAAAGAAGAATAATTCTTCTTTTCTACCTTTAACATGAAGTTGCAGTTTTTGTAGGTTGTAATTTTTAGATTTTTGTTGTGTTTGTATTTTAAATAATACCCTGTTGTGTTGTAATGTTTTTATTCAAAATTTTAAATGTATTTTTTAATATTTTTAACATGTTTGTGACAGTGTTCTTCACCTCTAGGACCAACTGAACATTTTCAATGTAGGTTTTGAATGTTAATTTCCACCACTTGTACTAAAATAGGTTTTCCATTTAGGTGCTGATGAAGGTGACAACATATCACCGAAAATTTCACATTTAGAATAAAGTTCTACACCAAACTGGCTTATACCATCTCTAGCTGATCCTTGTTTTGAAGCTTTCCCGAAAGTTACCCTCCAAAGAATTGTATTCTTAGCGTCGTTATACAAACTCTATATATATATATATATATATATAATATATATATATATATATATATATATATATATATATATATTATAGTAGATTTTCTTGGGCTTAGGTTCATAAAAAAATTAATTTGGTACTAAACATTTTTATATATTCTTTTTTTCCGACGTTTCGGCAGGAAATCCATTCCTTTTTCAAGAAGAAATATTGATTAAAAAAAACATTTTATGACAGACATAATACGATTTAAAAGTTAAACTTTTGACTTACCAAGCATGTAAAAATTCGGTATTAACAAGAAGACGTCACAATTAAAATAATATTAAAACATAGGACATACCCACTAAGTCACTACATGTAAAATGTATTTTAAATCTAATGTGTTGTTTATTGATGTTAGTTTAACGATTAAACAATCAGTTATTATAACATTATAGGCATTCTGAGATTGTCTTTTTATGTGTTTTTAAATTAAGCTAAAATATATTTTGTTCAAATTTTTGACATCTTTTTTATCGTTTATTGCGTTATTATTATTTTTTTATTTGTATAGACTCTAGAAGCTCTCTCTTCTTCCTGTTGAGTTCACTTTTTAGGATCTTGGTTTTCTCAAAATCAAATTTATGTTTTTTTTCGTCTTGAGTTAAGTAGCTGAATGGTTTGTCCAATATAAACTCCATCACAATTCGAGCAGGGAATTTCATATACAACATGTGATCTTTTTATTAGAGGGGTTTTTGTTTTTAATCTTATAAAATTCCTTTTCAAAAGATTGTGCCCTTTATGAGCAACCGTAATATTATCTTTAGACAGAAGATTTGCAATTTGCTCTGATAATCCTTTTATATAGGGGAAAGACATATAGTTTTTCTTTACCGTGTTGGTTTCATTTTTATTATTGTTATTGTAAAATTTATGCAGTCGCCATTTGAAAGTGTTGTCAATAAGGTGGTGTAGGTATGAATTAAGTGTTAGTGCTGTTTTTGCTTTTTTAATGGCCTGAGGTCTATTGATAGGATCGGATAATCTAATAGCTCTGTCAGCGAGTCCGATAACTACTGATTTCTTTTGAGACAGGGGATGATGAGAGTTGAAATTCAGATATCTCGACGACCAGGTTTTTTTGGTGTACCATGAAGTAGTTATAGTACTTATAACTACAGTAGTATACATATATATACATATATATGTATGTATATATATATATATATATATATATATATAATATATATATATATATATATATATATATATATATGACAACAATATCTAGAATTTATTATATTGCGTTTATAGCGTATATAGCAATATATAGCGTTTATAACAAGCACTGTTTATCATTATGTGTTTATCAATTTATTGAACAGGTGATTTTAGCACACGTTATACATATAAATGTACAAATAATAAATAAACATATTTTTATATTTGTGAATGATTAGTTTTACAAATGGTGTTTATTATTTGTGGTGTAAAAATATTTATTACTGTAATGGTTAACTTACCTAGAGCACTCTCTGTACTAGAATTAGTTCTCTTCCGCCTTCCCCAAATTTTCCTCTCGTCATCGGAACTGCTATCATCGTCCTTATATCTTCTGGAAGCTCTAACACTTTTACTTCTCATAAACCTAGAATTTTCTACAGGAAGAATATATTTCGGAATGCTTTTATAAAACCAGGCGCCGGATTTCTTCCACATCTCCCTGGTTTCAGCGCAAATCATACACAGCCAATGTTCTTCTCTTGTGGTGCTGCTAGAAAGAAGCACTTTTTTAATTCTCAATTTTCCTCTTTTTGTCATATACAGAAGATTTACTAAAATGGGCGATCTCTTAGGCTGCGTTTGATAAACGTGTCTAGAAAATAATTTTACTTGAATTATTAAAAAATCGTTAAATGCATTTATGGCCCAAAACCTTGTTAGTAAAATATTGTTAGTATCACAGCAAGCGTATAATTAAGCTTAAAGGCAATAGCGGGATAAAATGGTCACAAGTGCCCCTCACCGATAAGCACCGCGACTTTTGCTTTGAATGAAGCATATCAAAACATACTCCATACAAATTTTTAGCTTCCCAGAGCTCGTAGAACCTATTAAATCTAAAAAAGAACCTTTTTTGATTTTATATTTTTCTGGACGCAATTTTGCTTTAAAAAATCTTAAAAAATTCGTAGATTTGTTTTAAATTTTTTATATTGAAAATTGAGCTCAGGAAAAATCATTGAAATTTTCAATACCTTTTTAATTTTATATTAATTATGTTAATAATTTTTGTCTAACTTATAAAAAGTATTTTTTGGTTCTTTTAAATGGCCTAGGCGTAATTTTCAATTTCTGAGCGGAAAGCATCAAAAAATCAAAAATTCAGTTGATAATTCAACATTTTTTCTTTGACATTATCAAAATCTATTGTAAAAGTCCCAATGAAACTCTTTCATAAGGTAAAAATTCGAAAATAACAGGTTGTTTATCCTCTTCGCGCTTTTTTTTACCTAACCCCAAAATCAGATAGTTAGATGTATGCTTTTTTATCTATTTTCTTTCGGGTTATAAATCATCATTGTTAAAATAATCATTTTTAACTTACAAATTCTCAAATTGCGAGAAATCGTGTTTTTCTAATATTTTCCCACTTTATTGACTCAATAAACGTAAAATCTAGTAGCTAAATGATGAAATTTCCGCGTATTTTTGATCGCCCCCTTCAATTTTGTTATACCACTTGTCTTTTTTTCTTAAATAGTCAAAACTTGAAAAAACTGTTTTTAACCCTCGAGCGGGCGCGTCCGTTTATTTTGTACACGTTCAATAGAAAAAGTCGTCTAAAAATAGAAGTGTCGTCAATCTGGCGATATTGTCGCGTCTATTCGTCCAGTAGCGATCTGTCGTTCGAATAGTTGAGTAATATTTTTTGTTGTAGCTGAGTTTTGTGAGAGTTCTTAGAAATACGAGAGTGTGACGGTTTTGTGTACATAATACACGGCGCGCCTTCTAGAGTAAGTGTTTTGTCCATTAATTATTTTACTTTATAAAAAGTTGTAATTCGAAATTAAAGTCAAATTAACTTTAGTTTTACTTTATTTTAGGTTGAACAGGATATTGTAACATAATTAAGAAGGAATATAACGGCTACGATAAGAGAATATCATGTAAGAATTTAGTTGCATTGTTATATTATTTGTGTGTTACTTTTTTATTTTTTCAGGGCTAGAAAGAAGTTTTTAACTGAGGCTGAGTTATATAAAATTCTTAATGAAGACCCAGAAACAGAAACTAGTGAAATATAATATTCCGATGAATCTGAGACAGATGAAGAAATAATATACCATGATAACCACAATTCTGAATCTGAACAAGAACAGAATGACCACGACAGAGCCAGTAACTTCGAGGATAATACTGCAGTAAGTACGACTGGTTTCGAATATTTTCAAGGTAAAGATAAAAAAACTGCATGGCGTAAGACTCCGCTGTCGTCGCAATCAAATATTAAAAAGAAAAATATTATTAAAATACTTCCAGGACCAAAGGCAGTGGCTTCAAAAGTGATCTCAGAACTTTCAGCTTTTGAAAAAATTATAGATTCTGATATATTAGAGAACATCGTTCAATTTACTAATTTGTACATTGATAGTAAAAAAGAATCTGTTCATTATAAAAGAGAACGAGATATGGAACATACTTCAAAAAGTGAAATAACGGCGTTACTGGGAGTGCTTTACCTCCTAGGCACTAAAAAGGCTAACCATACTAACGCACTTGAACTTTGGACACCTGATGGAACATGTATAGAAATTCTTAAAACTGTAATGATTTACAAAAGATTTTTATTTTTGTTACGTTCAATGCGCTTTGATGACAAAACCACAAGACGTGAACGGAAAATATATGACAAATTTGCACCAATTAGAAAAATATTGGACGCATTTGTTAGTAACTGTAAAAATTCCTATAATCCTGGTGAATTTGTTACAATAGACGAAAAACTAGAGGGATTCAGAGAACGTTGTAGTTTCATTCAGTATTTACCAAATAAACCAGCAAAATACGGTATCAAGCTGTTCATTTTGGGTGATGCACAAACTTACTTTGTTGGAAATTTAGAAGTTTATTGTCGACGGCAACCTGAGGGGCCTTATGCTGTATTAAACTCTCCCAGTGATATTGTAGATAGGCTTATTGATTATATAAAAGGTTCAAATTGCTATTTGACAACCGATAATTGGTATACCAGTTATCCTTTAGCTATTTTCCTTTTGGAAAATAAAATAACTACAATTGGAACTTTGAGAAAAAACAAAAGGAAAATACCTATTAAATTTTTACCCCAAAAACAAAAAGAAGTGGGAACGTCACTCTTTAGATTCCAGAAAAACGTCACTTTGGTTTCATTTGTTCCAAAAAAAAGTAAGTCGGTCATACTTTTATCCACGATGCATGATACTGCCACCGTAGACGTCGAAACTAAAAAACCAGAAATTATTCTAGATTATAATGCCACAAAAGGCGGTGTGGATACTATTGACCAAATGTGTGCATCATATTCTGTAAAAAGAATAACCAGAAGATGGCCACTAATTATATTTTTTCTCGAATGGATATGGCGGGTATCAACGCGCAGGTGTTGTTTTGTGCCAATAAAATAAATCCCAAAATATGTCGTCGAATTTTTCTAAAGAATTTAAGCTTGAGTTTAATGAAAGTACATCTTTCAGAAAGAGCGACAATGCGATATCTTCTTCAGGATATTCAAGGTTTTCTAATGAAATATAAATCATGTGAAGAACCTACTAGAACAGAAGTGCAAAGCTCTAGAAAACGTGGACATTGTGCAATATGTCCAGGCATCAAAAAATTCCAGCACAACAGTTAGATGTGGGCTATGTAGAATGTTTGTATGTAAAATGCATTCAGAAACCACAATTACCTGCGTAAAATGTAAGAACAATGAACGGCAGCAATCAGAAGAAATCGAGTGAAATAACCCGTAGGTACATGTTTTATGTTTATTGTTTTGTGTAACAATAAACTATTTTTGTAAATCGTGGTTGTCATTTTGTTAAAATGCACTAAATTTGGTAAAATCAATCAAAATGTGTTTTGTGTACAAAATACACAGCGCGCCCGGTTATGAAACGGTAGTCGGCGCACCTGCTGTATTTATTTTTTTTTATATATATTATTTGCTATATTTATTTAAGCAATATTCCTATTTTTGACTCGTTAATTTCATAAAGTGATATATCTCTAGGATCACCTCACTAGAACAAGAATATTATTCTTTAAATATTTAAAATTGTAAAAATTATTTTATAAATTCATTTGGATACAAAAATATTATTATTATGAAATTGTTATATAATAGGTTGATTAAATTAACAGTTTAAAAATTTAATTACATTTTAGTCCTCATAACTATTCTCATCTATGACCGATTCAACATCGGGTATAAAAATTTCTCATATAATTTTTGCTGGTCTTTTGATTCTCGATTTATATCTTAAATTACTAAGATAATAAATAACTGGTGCTATATAAGAACACGAACCCACAGTGCGTAACCCATTTGCACAGTCACATGCGTGGCGCAAAACACCACCATATCCAACTGAATCAGGTTTATCTGCAATGTAGCATTTGTAGGTCTTACTGCTTATATGCCTGGATCTTATCAGTACTTCAATAAAATTTGGTTTTATTGTAATATACTTCAAACTGATGTATCCATTAACTCAGCCAAATAGCAAATCGCTTGACCTAATTGATAGGTTCCTGAAAAAAAAATTGAGGTGGACGTCTTGACCACCTGGCTGTCTCAGCTTCTAATGCTAAAGTATTCTCAACTTGAGTAATTTTAACATTCTTTCGATTATTATGTCCTGTAACCCATCATCATTTTGATCACTATTCAAACGCTAAAACAATATATAATTACAGGCTTTTACATACAATTATTGATACATATCGCACTTTGATCATTTAAGTTCGAGGATATCGTAACTGATGGCGGACGCATACGCGCGCCTGTATGATAACTTTAATATACTCGATTCTTTCGAGACTTTTCCATGGGATTGATAGTTTTCAAGATCCTCGATAATATTGCAACGGATTTTAGAAGATGATTATTTGATAATAAGGCTAAGACTGTCAGAGCGATATCAAGGCAATGGCGACACTAAAGCGATATGAAGGCGACACCAACGCGCTTACTCCCATTGTCGTTGTTATGGTTACGGATAGCAGACATTGTTGTTGTCGCCACTACTTTCGTCTTAGTGTCGCCTTCGTATAGTCTTTGTGTCGAGAGTACGATACGCATGCCTATAGGATATATGGAAATTATAATATTCAACTCTAAACTTCGATTAGACCAACTACTTCGAGAATTTCAATACGACTCGAGATTTTCGATATTAACTCGCAAAGGATTTTAGGACAAAGGGATTATGTATCTCATAGGCGCGCTTTATTATTATTTAGTAACTTATTTATTTTGATAAACATTTGGCACTAGACTATAATGTAGGCAATATGCATAATCAGCTGAGGCTTGCGTACAAAAAGTGTCTCATATGGCCTTGGAACTACTTTTATGTTCTAAGCATATGACTATAACAGCTTCAAGAAGACCATGACCAACTGCAGGTCACTTAACGAATATATGTTAAGCACATTGTAATATGTAAGATTTCAAGTAAAACTTAAAAAGAATAAAAGTATATTATTTCATAATAACAAACATGAGACAGCTATAGGTTTTTTTTCGAGTTTTGACTATTTAAAAAAAAGACAAGTAGTATAACAAAATTGAAGGGCGTGATCAAAAATACGCGGAAATTCGATCATTTAACT